CTCTGGATGTGATCTGACTTCTGGAAATATCAATGCAAGACCCATATCCCGTCACAGCTCAGCAGTTAGAACTATTCGTGCTGAATATAGGCTACGAAGAGGAACCGGCTTCTTTATAGAAATCAACACAAGAAACTGTTCAATAGGCAACTTTTACCATTTTTACGTGATCTAAAATTCAATTTTCTTTCTTTCTATTTGTTCTTCTAATTCTTTCATCCTATTAATCACCTTCACATCGAACAACCTGATGTGGCTGTAAAGCTCTAGACAGTGACCGCGACATAGCTCAGGCGGTTAGCCGCCAGCTTCCCACCTCGGCGGCCCGGGTTCGATCTCAGGTCGAGTCATGCGGGATTTGTGGTGGGCAACTTGGCACTTGGGTAGGTTTTCTTCGATTTCTTCGGTTTCCCTTGCCTATTCTCATTCCACTGAGTACTCATAATCATCATCATCTATCACCTGGGACTGCTACAAGAGGCCAGTTAGTGGCCGACGTACCAAGTGGACTCAGTCTCCCTCCACCTCAAGAAACTAAACAGAAAGCTCAAGACATGGGATCAGTAGATGCTCCATCCTCACCTCGGTTCGGAAATCGGCCATACTGAGAATTTTATTGGGTTTCCTCAGTCTATCCAGAAAAATACTAGTATAGTACCTTGATTATATCACGATTCCTTCCAAATCCCTTCAAATTCATTATCGCAAGTTGTTTCTACAGTTCAATGCTCTGTAGGCCTAGTCTGAGATACTAGCGGAGTCGTGAAATAAAGAACAGGAAATAATCCTTCCATCAGTTCCCATTTAACTATGCAGTTAAGTAAACATAATCAATAATATTAAAAAGACGCAACAAAAACGCCAGAATAAGTTTTATATACGTTATACATATACAATATATACATATATCTGTGACTTCATACAGACCTATTGTACGTGTATATATGTGCATATTTCCGGTGATGAACAAAAGTGGGCAGCCTCTTCTCTGTCCACATCTCTCATTGAAAACATTTTCACTTCAAGAAATTCTGAAGTCAGTGTGGGCTTGTTGAATTTCACACGTGTTCCAGTAAACCCATTGATGATTGTGTGATATTAAACATGACACGCGACTATGAGCAGCTTGCTAAACATATTCTACCCTAATTTCTCTGTTTGTTTCAAGTATTTAAATTATGCCATGCTTTTGTATTATTTATTAGTTATTGTTACGCTGCAACCTTGTTCCAGATTTTTATTGCACCTTATCTGTACTTGTTTTTATCTACATTCATTTCTAGGTTAATACATAAAGTGTCCTGTAAACAATTCCAAAAGACCGTTTAGACCTTACCTGCATCTCTCAACCTTCACATTTCTAAGCTTTTATTTAATTTTATCAAAAATACCATTTAATTATTTCCGTCAGAATCTAGCTCAGGTTCTAAACAAGGCAGTGAACTTTCAGGTACCATAAAATTTGGAAAATTCTTCAGTACGAGACTGACTGGCGGCGTCTCAAGACGTGATCAGCTCAATAGAATTAGAATTAGTTAGTTAGTTAATTGTAATATCTTTCCGGTGGTAACCATTTATAAATAAGGGAAATAAAACCACAACAATTACTATGGCCCGGATTCTTTAAAAAGCATATGCGCATATGCAAATGAATATTTTGAGGGTTTTTGGTCGTTATTGCATATTCTAAACTTAAGTGCATATTTCTGCATATATGTTTGAAATTAAGGATAATTAAGGATGAGACAACCGATTTATGTGGCCGATGAATAGCAAATTTCGTTGCTGTTAAGCTACATCCAGACGAACCCGGCAACCCTCATCTTCTTGCTTGTAAAGTACTAGAGAAAACCAACCATAGGACAATAGCAAGATTTGTAAATGATTCTTTGTGACTACTAAGGCCATCTGAAATTGAGAATAATTGTTGTAAGGTGCTTGTATTACTCACAGATGCAGCTTCCTATATGTTGAAAGCAGCAAAGGCCTTACAAGTGTTTTATCCAGATCTTACACGTAACCTGTTTAGCGCACGGATTACACCGTATTGCAGAAAAAATACACGCACAGTTTCCAGCTGTTAACGATTTAATTGCAAGGGGGGAAATAACTGTCTCTGAAAGCACCAGCTCGTGTCCAGTTCTACAGAGATTGCCTACCTCAGGTTCCTCTGCCACCTGAACCTGTCCTAACTAGGGGGGGGACATGGCTATCCGCAGTTTCATTTTATCAGGAGAATTTCAATAAAGTAAAAGAAGTGGTTACAAAACTTGAAGATGAGAATGCATGTGTCCTTGAAGCAAAAGTGGTGTTTGGAAGTGATACTGTTTATCAAGATGTGAATTTTACCCATGCACATTTTTCTACACTTTCAAAAGCCATTGAGAGCTTAGAATCTTGTGGTGCACTCCTTCACGACTCACTTGAACTCGTTCAGAAAGCAACTTGTTCACTGAATTTCGCACTTGGCGAAATTGGAGACAAGATTAAATGTAAGTTAGAAATGGTGTTGAATTCGAACCCAGGACTAAAAAAGATTCAGTCAATTAGTCGGTACTTGAGTGGAATTGGGGTATCTTTGCCAGATGAATGTTCCTAACCTTCGGCGCCAGTGTATAAATACTGTCCAATCACGTCAGTTGATGTAGAAAGATCATTCTCAGCCTATAATCTCATTTTGACGGACAACAGACGAAGTTTGTCTCCAGAAAACACTGAAAGACTTCTAGTTGCCTGTTGAGATGCTACTTTCTGCAGTGAATGATACATGTAAATAGGCGAGTCTGAATAAAGTGACCTGTTTCTTAAGTGCATATTGTTTTATTTTTGGTGCATATTTTCCCGCTTTTCAGCACATATTTTAAGTGTTTTAGTGCATATTTTAAGTGTTTTTAGCGCATAAAGATCCGGACCCCTAGTTATTTCACTGATTTGTCCCTGTCCGGAAGTTTACACGTATATACGTATACATCGGGGCAAATATTTTAAGAACAGGGCAAATATGTAAAAGATATTGACTTCAAAAAGCCTGATAATATCTTGTCAGGCCCCTCTGTGCGTCGATTTAGTAAATTATCATGGCTATCTGCAGAGTCTTCGTATTAACATAACTGTAGAATAAAATGACCCCCGATTAAGGCGAAATTATTGCTGCTAGATCTTTAGCTGTCGGTGACACTTAGCATCTTATGAATTTATGGATACAAATTAATTTCTGCTTCTTTCAGTCTCAACAAACCTCTTCTCCTCTACTGGATACAAAATCGTATCTTAGGTTCCGATTACCCGTCAAGTTGTTGAAAATGAAAACCGCCGTTTATTTCTGTGAACATTGACATCAATAAGAATATACCGAGGTGGTTACACTTGTAACATTTACAATCCTGACTCAGCTGTTTCTTTCTTTTCGTAGTCCCTTCAGACGATTCACAGAAGAGTTGTACCTCAGTTTACTCCATAGCCGTTTCCTTTCACATGATTTCCAATTCATTATTTAGTAATAATCATGTCATTCGATGCCATGTAGTCTGAACAGCAGGCAGTATCTCTAGATGAAGTGTAAATGAATAATTATAATTATACCATTACCTACCCTGGAGACAATCGCTAATGATCACTTCACTGAAGCAGAATTCATGTGCTGCACAATGGAATATGCCATAATGCCAAATATGGTTAAATATGATATTAAACTGTATGAAGAACGAACAAATAGACGCACACTTTCTTCGTAGATGTATATATTGTGACGTGGACGGCGCAACGGTCGGTAAACACCCCCTTCCTCCAGCGGTGACGTAACAGCATCAGAGCAACTGCCGCTGCTACGGTAACAGGCCAGTCAACACTCCATCTCCATCCCCCCCGGTGACGTAACAGCACTTCGCATTGTGACGTAACAGGGGACACCGCGGTTACTACGCAGCAATAAACAACTCTCGGCAACGTTCCCCAGCAACGCTTGTAAACACGGCGTTTACGCAACAGTGGTAGCTATCACGTAACTGTATTCTGTGTTGTCAGTGCGGAAGCTACATAACGAGGTGGATTACCGGAGTAACCAGGTCAGTTGCAGTCTAGCAGTCGCCGAGTCGAGTTGCATCGAGTGAATGGAAATGACTACAGGAGAAGTATTTGTGATACTGCAAACGGCAGTAGTGGTGTAATTGTGAACTGTGTAAATGTAAGAGCGAATGTGGAATAAATTCGCTACCTCTAAGACGGCATGAAGTTATCTGTCGCGTGTCAAACTCCCAACACGTGACAATATTATTCATATTATTATATTATAACTTTTATTTATATTATTTATATACCCTTGTGAAATTCTGACTTTCTTACTGCAAGAGAAAAACATATGAGAGTGCTTGAGGACATGACGTAGGGGAGAGGATTTTCATGTAAAAAGTAATTAACAGGAGGATGGAAGAAAATACATAATTAGTTACTTATTTGCCATTATAATAATGTTGGAATAAAGGCGAGAAAAGAAGCTAGATATAATATTTGGTTTGAAACACACTAGGAGACGCCAAAATTTGAGAGATCTAGAATTATTTGAGAGGATATATTTAAGGTTAGGTGTAATTTTATATACTAGAATAAAGTAAGTTAGGATAGGGTGCAGTTCCGTACTTCTGTGAAAACCGCGGAGAATTTCTCGGCGCGCTGTGTAACAGTGCACTTGTCACGATGACTGTGCAGCACGGTATGTCGGTTGGTTCCAGCTGGTAATCTTGCATTTTGTGTGCGGTACTTAATGTGTTCTTCCGCCAATTACACGTGTATGGGAAGCAGGACAGAGAACGGCTGATTCTATGATACTAACATGTGGAGCAAGGGCACTCACAGCCCAGATTATACGAACGTTTTACTGATATTTATTGCATATTGCTTAAGGAAGAACAAACTAAACCATTTTGCAATTACTAGTATCAAGTCTAGCCTATATATATGCATAACTATGAGAGAGAGTTCGAGCACTTCGAAAGAGACGGCAGAACTCGTTATTTTGGCCAGTTACGAAAACTTCACTTTTGTTGAAGAAGCTAGTATATTAGAGAATGATTGGGACGAGATTGATAATATTTGTGGTAAGTTGTAAACTAAATACATTATATATCTTTATTAATATTATTACATTTCTGAAGATAATATAGGAGTTATTTGAAAGTTTAATATATTCTCCCCATAATAATAGTTTTAGTGTATGCATTTACAATGATGTCAAAATTTGCTCGTCACTTCTAAAGATATGCAGGATGTGAACTTTCGTTTCTCCCATATTCCAGTGTGTAGGTTATATTAGAAAAGGTGCCCGTACATATTCTTACTTCTAGAATGCCTAGCTTTAGCCAAGAGATGGTGGACAGAAATTACATTCCGATACTAAAGGTTCTGACAGCAGTATCAAGATTTATTTCTTCTAGGTTGTGTTGTCGTGTAGTTTGGCAGTTGGTACCAATGTTTCGGTCACATCTGCTGTCTCATTTTTCAAGGTAAAAGAGTAAGGAAATTTTCCTTTTTACTGTGAAGATGGAGGCAGCAGATTCCTCCAAAACACCTTTATTCCTTCAGTAAGCTAGAGTCGAAACATATCAGATGGTCGTCATCTTCAGTTCTGAGCTGAGGTCTGAGGTTGTCACGGCGGCGTGTGTCAAATTGCCGGTTTCTTTGGTTCTGCCGCATTTTATGAACCCAAAGGTTCATTACCGTCTTCACAAGAGCCCTCCACTGGTCCCTATCCTGAGCCAGACCAATCCAATCCATACCATCCTACCCTATCTCTCCAAGATCCATTTTAATATTGCTCACTCACTTAGGCCTGGGTTTTCCCAGTGGTCTCTTTCCTTCTGGCTTTCCAATCAATACACTATATGCATTCCTCTTCTCCCCAATTCGTGTTACATGTCCTGCCCATCTCATCCTCTTTGCCTTGATCATTCTAATTATAATTGGAGAAAGTACAAGTTATGAAAAGTAACGACTCACAGGCTATTTTTTCCCCCATTAGAGACACAGTCTTATAGAAAAACTGAACGATCCCCCAAATATTATCTGAAAATCTTTTTATTCTCTGCATTTTAACCATGAGATGTGACGTGGGTTTTCAGATGAAGCTGAAGTTAATATGTAACATATGATTTTATCCTACAGTTATAGTTACTTGTAAATATATCATTTAAATTGATATTCTTAGGTCGATTTTCATAATAAAAAAATATATATAATGTTAGAGAAAGATAAGTGAAACACACCCATAATCAGACTGACACGAATTATTTAAAGCGTGTGAAATTTTTCTCTACACGAACTGCAAAGTACAGACGAATTTATCTCTGAAGATTGAAAGGAAAAAATACATTACTTATTAATGAATTAANCCTTGTTCTCATATTAAAATAATAAAAATATGTATCTATCATATACATTGTCAAACGTTAAAAATATTAAAATTGTTCAGGATACCACATCGCTACGTCGCCCCTCACTACGCCAGTCACGCTCATTCTCCTCTGCTGGAGCACTCCTTCACTGTCTTGTGTGTGTTGTGCTTTTGTTATGTCTTGCTCCTGTGACTGCGTGTGTGTGTGGCATTGTTATGCCGAAACATGTAGTGCGAGGGAGATAAGGAGATAAATGAGTGTATGCACTGCAAGACGGTTTAAATAAATCATGGACTTAAAATAATTTTCTTATGCCCTACTTTCTTTTACCCGGTGATAAGGCAGCTGACACATAATGCTGACCACCCACCTCCCACTAGTGCCACACTGATGAATATGAGGATCTACATCTCTACTCCCCAGCACGTCTTCACGGAAAGATGTTTAATTAATTAAACTTAAAAATAACTTTACATTTGTATTTACTTATCTTGTAGGTTCTGCTCGCAACATTGGAGCAGATATTATCAGCTCAACTGAAATCATCCAATGGTGATGCAGCTCAAGACTGGAACATTTATACAGAACTGACTACAGGCACTATTGCAGAAGTGCCGCTAGAGGGCAGGGCATGCAATGGCAATGAATTTCTCTGCACAAACATAACAGCATACAAATCCTGTGATGCAATTAAGCTACGAATTATTGAAAACCAGTGTCCGCAGGGTTCCTTCTGTAATACAAAATGTGCCAATCCCTGTACGAATGATGTAAGATTATGTTGAAAAGGAAATTCTCCTTCACAAATAAAACAAACAGTTCTGTTGAAGCCTGGTCCTAAATTTAAGCAGTACAACATTCTGAAAGCCAACAAGTTCTTCGACTCTTGCAACATACAATATACTCACATGTGTCTGAGAGCGTAATATTCCTAGAAGGGATACACCAGACTTAATGACTTATGTCCCGTATATTATATGTACGAAACATTATTAGTGGTGCAAGGAAATTATTACTTACTTACTTATGGAGCTGAGCCTTTCTTGAGGAGAAGCCAAATCCGCAGCTACTCAAGATATTCCCAGAATTTTATGTAACCCGAAGGTTCATTACCTTGTTCACAAGAGCCATCTACTGGTACTTATCCTGAGCCAGAACAATTCAATCAATACCATTCCTTCCTATTTCAATAAGATTCATTTTAACATTGTCCACCGTCTACGCCTTGGTCTTCCCAGTGGTCTATTTCCTGCTGGCTTTCCCACCAATATCCTATATGGATTCCTTTTCCCCCCTATTCGTGCTACATGCCCTGCGCAACTCATCCTCTTTGATCTGATCATTCTAATTATTACAAGCTATGAAGATCCTCATTAAGCAGTTTTCTCCAACCTACTGTCACTTCATCCTTCTTCGGTTCAAATATTCTCCTCAGCAGCCTAGGAATTGCTCTAACATTTTACTTTTCTTTTAAAATTGCGTCCGCACTCCTTTACTTCCACGGAGGGTCAGGCTTGAGGTCAACATCACCTTACTCCTGTTTCTTGTACACCAAACGAAATGTAAAGAAAATGCAAATGACGTCATATTTTTAAGAAGTGCCGTCCGTTTAGAATAAAATATCAATTATAACTTGAATCCAAGTGACGACAAAGCAGCAAGTTAGCGTGTGCCCTCTGAATTTGCAATAAATGATGGAAAGACAAAGCATGATTTTCGTCTACAATGAGGTTGTGAAAATCATGCAGAGACACTTCGAATTGAAAGTCGATTAATCATACAAGTATAAATGTCTGTCTGTTCTTTATACACTTACATTTTCACTTCGACCAAATTTGTCATGATGACAGGTGACCTTCCTGGAGAAATTCTAGACACTTATCACGTTTTCTGGTTATTACTCGAGAACAATTTGTCCTAGCACATTGAGGTTTTCTTAATTCTATAAGGCTTAGGAAAGCAATCATGAAAAACGCCTGTCGTACGTCTAGTCCATAATTATATTACATTACCTATCATAAATTTGTAATAATTAATTCTCAATTTTCCTCAAATAAAATGCAATTTAAAAAATGCAGAAATCCAAGGTTTATTTTATTAAGATATTTAATTAGTACTTGCGTAATGCATGGTCCCTTATTGATATTTTTAAATAATTTGCGGTTCTTTTCACGAAACTCAGCAGAATCACATTCTTCTCATCACGGTGTTGTTTATTCTTACAATAAAATATTTGCTGATGCCAGTAGCAGCGGGCAATCCGGAGGCTCTGGTCACCATTCAGTTCAGAATATTATTCTGCCAGCCCTGTCGAAAAACTAAAATTGGCAAATTCAGACAGATTTAGCATCTTCCGTAAGGTTGCCTGCCAAAGGAACGGCGTACTCCTCTTCGCATGGCACAGGAACTTCAACCATCAGACAGGGAGACCGTAAGGAAACTGGTTGTCAATTCTCCCAACATGTTTTCCATTTGTTACATCTGTGATTACTTGCAACGAACATATTTCTCCTGTCTAACTGATAAATATTTCAGTTGTATTAGGGAAGAGACAATATTCCCTTTGAAAGCGAACTGGTATTTGGCCATATATTTCTTCATAGATTCAGCAGGGTTTCCTGTGGACACAACTTGTTGCAATGATTTTAGTGGGAGAGTAGTCGGAGGTCACAAGTGCGTTTCCAACGATAAATCTCAAAGTATAAATTCTTTCCACACAAACACACTGCCGAATGAGTAGAAAACGCATATCAAATAACGAAAAGTCACTCCTGCCCTTCTAGTTCATCTTGAACGAACATGTCTCTATGAAATAAAGTCTATTCGAGACAGGTTTTACGTAAATGAGCGTGAACGTAAGGCATGAGCTGATGTAGTGCAGGTTTCAAGAAATTCTTTCATGGGTTATTAGCTTATCAACTGTGTGGCTATGACAAGTAGTATCTTCTGTGACGTGACACCGTTTAGATTTGCTTCCGTTTCAATGGTTGTATAATGACGCTATCCATATAGATATTATGTAGTTAGTTAGTTAGTTAGTTATTAGAGAGGGTGGGTTTCCCCATGCACTTAGACCAATATTGGTCCATTGTGCTTCCCTCTATGATATTCTACCAGTCTCTATACCCTACCGACACTGGTGCGTACCATCAGTCCCGACCGAGCCAGCGAGTTCGGCCTCTACTGGCTTAGCGGTATCTATAATGCTTCCCCCATCTATCAGAGGCGTTAGAGACTACTGTTGGGCGGGAAATGTCCTTGAATTTGGCTCAGTGACCTCCTTTGCAGATATGAGGTTCTTTTACGTGCCGTATAGCTACGACACGGGACCCACGGCTTAAAGTCCCTCCCGGAGGACTTGTTCCCTGAATTTTTCCGCCCTTAAAAATTCCACGACCTCCACCGGGTTTGAACCCGCGTACCACGAGTCATGAGGTAGATATTATGTAGCGCCATATGATAGGCCAAATGATGAAGTGGATTGGAAGGGCACGGTTATGTCCTACTTGTGGTATTTCCCCGAAAATTTCTTGTAGGGACTGAGGAAAAGTAACAAAAATTTCATTAAGAATAACAGGTATTCCTGTCGAGTTTCGAACAGAGAACTTTTAGGATACAAGTCTAGAGATTTTCTGCTAGATCAACCTGTTTGATGTGATTCAGTGCAGTCTGGTAGAAGTTCAGCGATTTTCATCCGAAAGATGGAGATCTTCTACCAAATATTCCGCTAGATAATGCTCTTCAGGAAGTTCTGATCAGATGAAGATCTCTCTATCTATTCATCCGTCCGCCTTTCATTCTTTAATTATATGCACTGTGAGTAGGACTCCTTGGACGGGGGATCGGCCATTCGCAAGGCCGCTACTCACATGCAGAACAACACGAACACAGAACAAACGCACAGAGACATCCATGCCTTAGTGGAATTCGAACCCACGATCTGGCGTTCAAGCGAACAAAGACAGTTCATGCCTTAGACCGCGCAGCCACTGTGATGGACCCAAAAGAATTATTTGGTGCTCAAAAGCCCTGCAACACACATTTGTTTTGTTGGACAGTTACTTACTTCACCCTTCTAGTTAGCTAGTTTGTTTCTTGTTACTTGGTTACTTGGTTTCATATAACCGGGCCGCGCCAAAGCTCAAGCGGTTAGTTGCTGGCTTCCCACCGCGGCGGCCTGGGTTCAATCCCGGGTCTGGTCAAGAGGGATTTGTGGCGGACAAAGTGGCGCTGGGGCAGGTTTTCTCCGAGTACTTCGGTTTCCCCTGCCAATCTTCATTCCACCAATTGCTCCACAATCACCCTCACCTATCATCTGGGGCTGGTACAATAGGCCAGAAGTGGCTGCAGTACAAGGGACTTAGTCCCACTCCACTAGCAATAAAGAAAATAGTTTCACTTAAACTCCGCGAAAATTATACATCTGAGGTTGTAGTCAGTCACGAGCAGAGGCAACTACGGTGAACTGTGAGACAAAACTTCTGTAAAGCCATCGGTACACAAAGCGTGTCCTGAAACACTTTTATTATACAGTCTAGAGCATGAACAAACTGACCTATTTAATAATTACATGTTAAAAGACTATATATTCGTAGCTGTCAGATAAAAACCAGAGTTTCATTTGGCACCACGGAACTTCGTGACAGCTCCAGTTTTACAGATCTCGCATAGCATATAAGCCGCTACTGAAAAACGGACATTTAAAAATATAAAATGAAAGGCATGACTGAGGCAACATTTATGGTAAGTTACACATTTAACTACTTTAATTAAGCATTGTGAAATCCACGTTTTATAAGAGCTTCATTTCACAAGAAACCTATAGCTAGTCGCAGGAATTTGAATACCAGCATTTGCATATTAATTACAGATATACCGCGTTATGTGTGACTTCGAAGAATGTTTTCATTTTAATGAGATCAATTAATTTAGACTGATTTCAGTTACTAGAGCTGACTCTATTGAGAACTGCCTGCTGACTGACACAGCGAGGTGAAGAAAGGTCGAGCAATTGCTTTGCGGGTTGCAGAGCAGGAATGTAGGTGGAAGAAGGGAAAACTATATTCAAATTATGTGATTTCACTCAGTGAGGCTATCGAGGAGGCAACATAAATCGTGGAATATCCACAGTTCTATTACGTTGTGTAACCCTTCACATCACGGTGGTTGCTACACGTATCATCTGTTTTAAGAGATTGAAAATTTACAGTCTCTCCACAGAGTGTGTTTATGTGAATCGTATCATTTTTCACAATAAACAACGACTTTTTCATAAACTGACTGTCTGACTGTTGAATTGCTGCTGGCCCTCGCCAGCATAGTGATACTTAGTTCCGAGTCCCATTGATCTAATTTTCTTATTTTGCCGCCTGACGGCTCTGGGAGCCCCTTTCTTCATAAGCTGCATTAACCGATTTATCTTTATAATGGAGACGTAATGTGTTTTCTGTGAGTTTTCAACTGAATTTTTATGTGTAGAGTGAGATAAAGGAACATGACTTTTTCAAAATTATATAAAGCAGTGAAATTTTATTTTCATTTCTTAATTTATTGTTACAAAATGAATGAAAAGTGAATACCATTTTATTCCACGTACATTTCATTACGTCTCTGCTTATTTCGTTTTGAACAGCACGTCACTAAAATGTTGCCCATCACTGCGTACACACTCTTCCAACCTGGCTCACAGGTTTCCCGGTGCTCGCCTCGCCATATTTTCCAGTATTGCTGAAATTTGCTTCCGAATTGCGGTCTTCAGGTCACTGAGGGTCGTGGCCTAGTGGTGTGCACTTTTGCTTAAAGGCACCCCCAAAGGGAGAAATCACAAAT